TGTGAATGTGGTGTACACTTTTAGAGTTATGATTATTGTGTAAAACTGTGTATTTGCCTGCCTGTGATAATTAAGTTAGACCATTGTGTTCAGTAATTATATCACAGGCAGAGGGGAGGATTTTGTGTGGGAGTGTCTGAGTGTATTGTACGTATTGATTGTTTGTTCTGCAAAACCCTGTGGGCAGTACTATGTGTGTAGAATGTGAATAAAAGAGGCTGTATGTGCCAGTACAGATAGTTCTACTTCACCCTCAATCTGAGTCCTGTCTCTTATTGGGGGAATCTGCTACAAGGGATTGCTATGCTCTGCATATTCCCTTGCTATTATCACTGAGCTCTTGTAAGAGCTTGTTCCTGTCTTGCTCTCTGAAGGATTCTACAGTGGTTATGGTGTCGGCTGGAGTGCTTGGAGCCCTCAGGAAGCGCTAGGAGCATCCTTCAACGGAGGTACCCAGTCGGGGTGCCAGGTGATCCGTTACACATGTCAATGAGTTAAATAAGTATTTGACCCCTTCAACTTAGTACCTGGTGGCAAAACCCTTGTTGGCAATCAGAGAGGTCAGAGGTGTCTTGTAGTTGGCCACCAGGTTTGCACACACCTCAGGAGGGATTTTATCTCACTCCTCTTTGCAGATCTTTTCCAATTCATTAAGGTTTCGAGCTACCGTTTGGCAACTCGAACCTTCAGCACCCTCCACAGATTTTCTACGGGATTAAGGTCTGGAGACTGGCTAGGCCACTACCGCACCTTATTGTGCTTCTTCTTGAGCCACTCCTTTGTTGCCTTGGCTGTGTGTTTTGGGTCATTGTCATGCTGGAATACCCATCCACGACCAATTTTCAATGCCCTGGCTGAGGGAAGGAGGTTCTCACCCAAGATTTGACGGTACATGGCCCATGGTCCATCGTCCCTTTGATGTGGTGCAGTTGTCCTAACCCCTTAGCAGAAAAACACCCCAAAAGCATTATGTTTCCACCTCCATGTTTGACGGTGGGGATGGTGTTCTTGGAGTATAGGCAGCATTCCTCCTTCCTCCAAACATGGTGAGTTGAGTTGATGCCAAAGAACTTGATTTTTGTCTCATCTGACCACAACACTTTCACTCAGTCCTCCTCTGAATCATTCAAATGTTCACTGGCAAACTTCAGACGGGCCTGTACATGTTCTTTCTTGAGCAGGGGGACCTTGCGGACACTGCAGGATTTCAGTCCTTCACGAATGATTCCTCACTATTATCATGATCATTGAAACTCCACGAGGTGAGATCTTGCATGGAGCACCAGACAGTTATTGACTGACAGTTATTTAATGTTTCTTCCATTTGCGAATAACCGCACCAACTGTTGTCACCTTCTCACCAAGCTGCTTGGCAATGGTCTTGTAGCCTATTCCAGCCTTGTATAGGTTTACAATCTTGTCCCTGACATCCTTGGACAGCTTTTTGGTCTTGGCCATGGTGGAGAGTTTGGAATCTGATTGATCGATTGATTACTTCTGTGGATAGGTATCTTTTATACTGGTAATGAGCTGAGATTAGGAGCACTCCCTTTAAGAGAGTGCTCCTAATCTCAGCTTGTTAATTGTATAAAAGACACCTAGGAGCCAGAAATCTTGCTGTTTGATAGGGGATCAAATACTTATTTCACTTATGGACATGCAAATCAATTTATAACTTTTTTGACATACGTTTTTCTTGATTTTTTTGTTGTTGTTGTATTTTTCACTGTTAAAATACACCTACCATTAAAATTCTAGACTGATCATTCACATGTTTAAAATCAGCAGGGGATCAAATACTTTTTTCCCTTACTGTAGTTTGTACAGAAAAATGTGCAGTTGTAATGTTTAGTTCCAATATCTTACCATGAATAATTGAAAACCAAAAATAACCCCCATGTGAGCCGTGAGGACATCTCAGGATTAATCTGCTTATATCCATTAAAACACTCATGGATTCATCCCACCAGCTGGAAGAAGAAGAAAATGGGCAACAGCTAGATAAAAGTCAAACAAACTTCAAACTTCTGCATATGTTGCAAAACATGACAAACTGGACAGACTTTATAAAATGAAAGTTGGGCAGAATGCTGACTGAGCCCTAGATGTAGTGGAGATGCAATGATGTCATTGACATAATGGCCACAATATGCGGATATCTTCATGGTAGGTGTCCGGAGTAAGAATATTTTCATATTTGTGCTTGACCATTTTTATTATTGTTTGTAGCATTATTTTTGTCTCCATTGGATTTATGTGACTTAGGCCTTGATTTAATAAGCATTCCAAATGATTAATTACTGTTAGAAAAACCTTTCAAATGATTTATCCACAGAAGCAACGGTAATTTTTGTAGACAAATCCTTTGGGTAGTTTATTACGTTTATTAAAATCGAGGCCTTAGTCTGTTGTTTTTATTTATATATGTTTAAATCATAGTGTAAATATAATTTCTGCTATTTTCCATTCCAGTTTTTGGACTTCTCGCCCAGTTTACTCACTGTTTGTGCCTTTCGGTATCCATATATTCCTTGTGTGATATGATAGCTCATTTATTGGCTATTACTTAGTTCAGAGCAATTATTACTTAATAAAGATTACTTTATGCTGATTTAAAGCAAATTGCCTTTACTTTATAACGTAGCACGCATACTTTAGATGTTGACAGAGATAGGTGACTTTTTCTGCTTCTATACTACTGAGCAAATTGTGTCTTATAACTGCCATATACTTATTTGGTCATTCACAGTTGCAAGGTCACTGACAATACAAAACATGATAGCATTTAAAATGCTTTCTTTTCTAATGTTTCTCTTTGATATTATCTACATGTTTGTTTTAGTAATACAGGTATATTAGGCGATATTGTTTCAGCTTAATATTTAACCATTTTGTATTGCAAGGCAGTTCATTTATGTTATCAGTTTCCGAGAAGGTCATAGATACAGTAGAATATAGATACTAATATCTTACAAGGTAATAACAAACACGTGTAACACTATAAAGTATACTGAAAAGGGTTGCTCTCACTTATTTTCCGAGTCGATGAATGCAAGCTACGGCTGTACCTTGAACCTCTTTCTGTCCCTTCTATAAAAAATCTGTGAACTATGCTTTAGTTCAGGCACACAGAGTTATATTTAAACAATGCTGTCAAGGTCTCATTAGGTATTAATTACCATTAGGTTCAACAAATGCATTGCAATAGATGGTATATGTTGCCTTGTGCAGTGTAATAAAGGTCAGGAGCAGTCATGTGACATGCCTCTATTAGACGTGTCATCGCGGTAATATTGGCTCTGTAGACTGATATACAGATAGAAACACCTGGATTAATGTTTCATGGTTTCATTTATACAAGAAAGAATTTGATTATTTTGAATGACAAATTTGGATAACATTGATTTAGTAGACCTCGTGGCAATACAAACACACATTGTTTTTTCTTGGTATCTCTTAATATTAAAAATGTGTGGATAAAAAATCAAGTTTTATAAAACCAACACCCATAATTTAGCATTGAGATAAGAATCAGTCGATTCAAAACAGTAAAAATCATAGGATATCCAAGAACAATTTAATAACCATGAGAGAAGACATTTCTCCGAGACAATGAAATTACACCATTGCTTGAACTATGTTAATATTTTTTTTTTTTTGTAAATCTTTTTATTAAGGTGTTTTCATGTTGTGGAAAGCATTTAGTTGGTAAACAGTGTGAAACTCGCAGGTTTCTGTTGTTTGTAGGAACATATTATACATTGAGATACGCAGATCTCCGCGCAATCTTCAATAGGGAGACTCGCAGGTCCCTGAGCAAGGTGAATATAATGTTCACACGTTGTAGGCAGCGTAGGTGTACACCATTGCGAAATGGTAGCATCATACAGAATAGTACGTCTGGAGCAATCAGAAGGCATCACTTAACCAGATTATGTGCAAAGGGCAAACAGAGGTTGTATCGAAACATGCTGTTCTCAACGATCTATGACGTGAGCCACACAACAATGCACTACCTGAACGTTTGGGCGGGATGTCAAAGCAATTACAGGAAAGGCGGTTCGCAGGCCCCTGTTGAGTTCGGACTCGTAGGTCCGCTTTGGTGTCGCCAGGTATACCCTAGCACGCAGGAGTGGTGGGATTAGTCTTGTTTCGTAGCTATCATTGGCTATGGCCATTGTCGTTACCCCTCTCGGCAGAGCCTACAGTTCGCTGGTATCCCTGGTTGCGAGTTACATGTAGTTGTCAGTGACAATGCAATTGTCCAGTGTGAGTAATTGTACTATGTCATTAGTGTGTGTATCAGTGTTAGTGCAAGGTGAGTATGATGTAGGTTTACGTGGTACAAGACCGTAAGCTATAAACGTGTGTTGTCCCTTACATCGACTCGTGCTGTGATAGTGTGTGCGTCTAAATTTATCTCGCGTTCCCCAAGATACGGGCGGTCGTCCGTGCCCCGCGAGGGCTGGGAACATATGTGACGTTAAGGTGTAGCAGATTGCATGTTCAACGGTATTTCCCTCTGAGCCCGGTCCCCCTCCCCTGGGCCCCGGAGCCCGTTAGCTTAGCGATTGCAGAGGTGGAGAAGGGTAAGTAGGGATTAGGTAGAGAAGGAAGGGGTGTAGGGTGAGTTGAGCTGCGTCAAGTGAGGCCCATGACTGCTGCCGCTCCATCAGTAGGTTCAGGAGCATCTTCTGCTTGTCTATACTGGGTAATGTACATGAACCACGGGAGCCACATCTCCATATATTTAGTTTCACGGCCGGTCAAGGAGGCGTGAATGTCTTCTGCCCCATGTATGTCTTCCACCCTGCGGATCCATTCTTTCTTCATCGGCGTGTCGCGTTTTTTCCAGTGTGCTGGTATGTTAGCTTTGGCCGCGTTTAGCAAGTGACGTAGTATAGATCTTTTGTACGCCCGGATGGGTTGTGTCGAGATGTGTAACAGGGCCAGCTCTGCGTTCCATTCCGGAATGTCTCCCAGAATGTCGGTTACGGCTTCCTTAATCATCGCCCAATATGGGATGATGTCCCTACATTCCCACCATATGTGTATCAGCGTGCCGCGTTCTGCCTGGCATCTCCAGCACAATGGGGTGATCGATGGGAAGATCCGGTGTAGCAAGGTCGGGGTCCTGTACCATAATGAGAGCAATTTGTAGTTGACCTCCTGGTAGTACGAACTCATAGAGCTTTTCTGCTGCCAGAGCAATGCTGTATCCCATTGTGCGGGTGTAAGCGTCTTTCCGAGTTGTTCCTCCCATTGACGGCGGAAGGTGGAGGCCTGGGTCGTGTCCCCTATAAGTAAGTGTTGGTACAACGCTGAGATTGTGTGGCCTAGTGGGGAGCCCTGGACGCATAGGCCTTCAAACCAGGTGAGATCCCGATGTAGGCGGTTAATATTTTTCTTGTGATGTTCAATGTACTCATAACTTTATATTAAAGGTTTAGTAAGTGACATCACAATCTAGTTCAGTCCAGACATAGTCAGGGCACTCAATGCAAATCAGGAGGAAAACTGAAACAATATTGTTTCCTTTTCTACTTTTCACTAACTATATCCAAAGGCAGAAAACATAGAAACATAGAAACATAGAAACATAGAATTTGACGGCAGATAAGAACCATTCGGCCCATCTAGTCTGCCCAATTTTCTAAAAACTTTCATTAGTCCCTAGCCTTATCTTATAGTTAGGATAGCCTTATGCCTATCCCATGCATGCTTAAACTCCTTTACTGTGTTAACCTCTACCACTTCAGCTGGAAGGCTATTCCATGCATCCACTACCCTCTCAGTAAAGTAATACTTCCTGATATTATTTTTAAACCTTTGTCCCTCTAATTTAAGACTATGTCCTCTTGTTGTGGTAGTTTTTCTTCTTTTAAATATAGTCTCCTCCTTTACTGTGTTGATTCCCTTTATATATTTAAATGTTTCTATCATATCCCCCCTGTCTCGTCTTTCCTCCAAGCTATACATGTTAAGATCCTTTAGCCTTTCCTGGTAAGTTTTATCCCGCAATCCATGAACCAGTTTAGTAGCCCTTCTCTGAACCCTCTCTAAGGTATCAATATCCTTCTGAAGATACGGTCTCCAGTACTGTGTACAATACTCCAAGTGAGGTCTCACCAGTGTTCTGTACAATGGCATGAGCACTTCCCTCTTTCTACTGCTAATACCTCTCCCTATACAACCAAGCATTCTGCTAGCATTTCCTGCTGCTCTATTACATTGTCTGCCTACCTTTAAGTCATCAGAAATAATCACCCCTAAATCCCTTTCCTCATATGTTGAGGTTAGGACTCTATCAAATATTCTGTACTCTGCCCTTGGGTTTTTACGTCCAAGATGCATTATCTTGCACTTATCCACATTAAATGTCAGTTGCCACAATTCTGACCATTTTTCTAGTTTACCTAAATCATTTGCCATTTGGCTTATCCCTCCTGGAACATCAACCCTGTTACATATCTTAGTATCATCAGCAAAAAGACATACCTTACCATCAAGACCTTCTGCAATATCACTAATAAAAATATTAAAGAGAATGGGTCCAAGTACAGATCCCTGAGGTACCCCACTGGTGACAAGTCCAAGCTTCGAATATATTCCATTAACTACAACCCTCTGTTGCCTGTTACTCAGCCACTGCCTTACCCTTTCAACAATATTGGAATCCAAACTTAAAGATTGCAGTTTATTGATAAGCCTTCTATGTGCAACAGTGTCAAAAGCCTTACTGAAATCTAGGTAAGCAATGTCTACTGCACCACCCTGATCTATAATTTTAGTTACCCAATCAAAAATCAATAAGATTAGTTTGGCATGATCTCCCTGAAGTAAACCCATGTTGTCTCTGATCTTGAAATCCATGTGTTTTTAGATGTTCATCAATCCTATCCTTTAACATGGTTTCCATCACTTTCCCCACTACTGAAGTAAGGCTTACTGGCCTATAGTTGCCCGACTCCTCCCTATTACCTTTCTTGTAAATGGGCACAACATTCGCTAACTTCCAATCTTCTGGGACTACTCCTGTTAACAATGATTGGTTAAATACATCTGTTAATGGTTTTGCTAGTACACCACTAAGCTCTTTTAATAGCTTTGGGTGTATTCCATCAGGTCCCATTGACTTATTTGTCTTTACTTTTGACAGTTGAAATAGAACCTCTTCCTCTGTAAACTCACGTGTAATAAATGACTCATTTATCCATTATTTATCCATTATTTAAAAGACCATCTTAACACTTGGGGCACCAAACCCAGTGACCGGGCCAACCCACCCACAAATACATGCTCACACAGATGCTCTCAGACACATAGATGAACAGTCAAACACACATATATTCCAGACACACACATACCTCGATATACCAGACACACACACATTTACCAAATACAATACACACTGATTAACATACAAACACACATGCTAACAGCCATGCACAGACAAACATACACTGCCAGGCACACACACACACTGACAGTAATACACATACACACACTGATGGATACACACTGGCAGACACACATACACACTGACAAATGCACACATACACACAATGACATACACACATACACTAACAGACACACACTGGCAGACAGACAATCTCACACACACACACACACACACACACACTGACAGAAACAGACACTGGCAGACATACAAACACACAATTCATGAAACAATGCACAAACATTGAAAGAAACACACACAAACCCAAATATTGAAATGTAAGTAATTTTAGCCACTCTCCTCTTTGCCTACCTATTGCCAGGATGGTGGTTGTGGTCCAGTGGGCTGCAGCTGTGAATTGTGCTCAGGGGGTTGTGCTATTCTGCTCTTTTTCTCCCATGTGGCTTCCTTTGAACACTGGGAGGAAGTGATCATTAATGAGAAACACTCAGACACACACATATAGACACACTGACATATAGAAACACTGATATACACACATACACACCTCATACACCCTAATACACTGACACAAAATACACAGATACATACACTAGCACACAGATACACACATATAAACACACTGACACATACATAGATACACATACTGACACATACACATTCAAAAACTGAAATATACATACACAAATACACACACTTACACACTCACACACTGACATATACATACACAGATACACACATTCACACACACAAGTACACATGTTATAACGGTTATATTTTCAGTCCTGTTAACATATATTTTTAGGGCAGGAGGGTGGCTTCCCTGGGTCATGCTGGCTGAGACTGATAAGAGTGTGGGGCTGGCTGGAGCTGGTTTTCTCATTGCTCTCTGTGTGACTAGCTCTCCCTTCCTCCCAGGCTGCTGATATTACAGGTACTTGTTCGTGCTGTTAAAGGGATGTCTGACTGGGCCCATGTTCACCAATGCCGGCTGGGTGGCCCTAAGTGCCATGCGATGAGCACCCCAGGTATGTGGGGCCCCAGTGCAGCTGCACTGGTAGTAGTTCAGCCAGTAGTGCCAGGCAGTGAAACCCTCGCTTTGTAGTTAAACCATTATTTAACCCCTGTAAATAAAACTGCACCCAGACACTCCTGCCACCAGTTCAATTTAAATAAGCTTCTTTTGTTATGGGTTGGAAGCGTTTAGACTTCATAATTTTCTGCAGTTCAGAACTGTTAATTAGGCAGGCAGATTGGGCTCTGGGCTTCCAGTGTTAATTTTGTCTTGGTTTTGCATGTGAAGTCTACATTGTGTTTATAATGCAGTAAAGAATAGGGGGTCATTTTTACCCTCTAGTTTACCATTAACTCGGTAAAATTAATCTGCATGAATTGCACATTTATGATGAAAGGTTTAACCGAGGTAGGAATATAACCCCAAACTTCAGAGGGAGATATACCCCAAATATAATTCAAAATAGAAGATTTTCAAGGCTTTTATTTTAATGAATCACAAAAAGCATGTGCTAAGGGATCAAAATCTGTTATTGAGCTGCGATATATTTACTAAACACTGAATTGAAACAGAACGGCAAAATTATCAAACTCGAAAAACAGCGCAATTGGAGAAGATATCCAGCTAGAGCTCAGCTATTTGGGTCTAAAGCTTGCAAATCAGTTTTCCATTAACAGTTTAGTTAGAAAAAACCCTTCAGAGAAGTTACTGGTTTCCCATAATATAAGATGTTAGAAACCAGTACACCAGAAATAAATGATATATTATAAAGAGAAAACTGATGGCTCTAATGTAATTGTTTTCTAAGATAAATTACTTTATTTTTGGATAGTTCGGCAGCTGGAAGACCTTTGTAAACAAACCCTAAGATGTTTCTGTCTTTTGTGGTTTCAGTATCCAAATATTGAGCTTATTATTGAACATGCTGGTGTCTTGGTTCTTTGATGATTATTTATCTGAAACTGATTACTCACCGAGTGTCCACTTCTCAGGCACAGAAGAAGAACAGGAAATGGAGCATTATGGCTGAATAACCATTATTGTAAAGGATTTGTGAAGTCTCCCAGTGGACACTATGCATAACTCATATCCTTTTGGGTTGCATCACTTTAAACGACCAACAGCATTTCTAATAAATCTTATTCATGATGTTTTGCTATCTAAAGTAAAAAGTAAAAATATGCCTTCTAAATATGTTAAAGAAGAAGCAATGCAAATAAAATTAAGTTTCTCCTAGCTAACTTTAATTAGTAAACAGATTGTAATAAGTGAAATCAGTGTTAGCATCATCACACAATATATATGTATTACTTATTGTTCATACTGTCATCCGGCGGGGGAGACCTATTGAGCATGAGGGGCCGGCGCCGGCGGGGGAGACCTAATGCGCACGAGCATTAGACCTCCCGATAGGAAAGCATTGAAAAATGCTTTCCTATGGGGATTTCAGCGACGCTGGAGGTCCTCACATAGCGTGAGGACGTCCAGCGATGCTATAGCACACTTTTCATGTGTTATAAACACGGAAATGCCCTCTAGTGGGACCGCCACTAGAGTAGGAGTTAACCCTGCAAGGTAAATATTGCAGTTTATGAAAATAAAAAAGTTTATGCAATAATTACACTTGCAGGGTTAAGGGTAGTGGGAGTTGGCACCCAGACCACTCCAATGGGTGCCTGGAGTGTCCCTTTAAACGATGCTGGATATCCTCACGTTATGTGAGGACCTCTAGCGTCACCAGAATCCTTGTAGGAAAGCATTAATTAATGCTTTCCTATGGGGAGGTCTAATGCGCATGCGTAG